TGTGCCTCCACTCTGCAGCTGCCAGGTTAGCTGTGCCTTCAGCTTTTCCAAGCCTTTCAGCAACCTGCTAAAGACAGGCAGGTGAGCACCTTCCCAGCTGCCCTGGGCGAGGGTCAGTGGGGGCAGCTCCCTGTGGCCAGGCCTGGGCACACAGCTCCCATGCTGGGGAAGGGGGCAGGCAGCCTGCCCCTGGCAGGGCTGGCCATGAGGCTCGGGGATAACGTGGTTTCTGAAGTAAGCACATAGAAAGCCTGATGTGCCCTTTTCCTTGCTGCTGCTTTTCCCTGGAAAAGCAGTCTCAAATCACAAGGGCTATAAAACTAGTGCATTTTCTAGCTCTAGCATCGTGTAAATAAGTCAGGTCAGACAGCTGGTGTGCCAGAAATTTCCTCAACATTTTCCTATCTGCATGATTTAACAGACTGCAGCTATATCCTAAGAGCCATGGAAAGACATCCCTCTTATATTCACCAGGGATTTTTTAAGTGTCTCTGAATGTCACTGAAACTGTTTCCTTGGAAGAGATGGCATGTGTGTCCAAGACAATGGGCTTAAGGGGAAAATGGAGGGATGGAGCTGCTGACTTCTTGTAGCTGCAGTGCAGTAAGGGAAAGGTGGTGTTATAAGGAAAGACTTTCTGGTTTAAGGCTCTGAATTAATTTGAATTGTTTTGCAGAATAATGGGCTTGCACTTACTACTGCTGTAATGGGATAGCCAGAGAATCAGCAGCTGTGGCTGCCTCTGCAGCAGGAGACATCAATTATGGAAGAAGGAGGCTGTGCTGTATAAGGTCAGAAGACAGTAGGACAGACAGGACTATATTCAGCTCTTTCTCTGCCTGCCTGTGTGATGTTTGCCATAGCAGGGTGTGAGTTCCCAAGGTAACGTGAAATGAATCCTGTCTCCTTTCTAAGGAGAAATGGGTGAATATTTGCCATCCCCACAGCCCTGATAGCACAGCCTGCCATGTTATGAATACTAGTTACAGTAGTAAGGCCATGACTTCAGCTCATGTTCTGGAGGCAGTGTGTGGAGAAATGTGAATTGTACAGAAGTGGGATGTAGGTACTTATCTTTAGATAGACAGCTGTGCCAAGGATAAATCAGATTTCACTTTATGGAATCTCCTTTCTCCTTAATCTTCAGAGATTTATTGAAAACAGCCTCTAATCTCTTCTGTTTGCCACAGACAAGTATGTTTTGCCTACTTACCACGGGGTAAATTTAGTGCCATTCTTAATCTATGGCAAAAAAGGCTTGGGAGCAGGATGTGTGGCATGTCATCTCTGGCATACATTGGGGATTTCTCCAGCTGCATTTACTGCTGCCTGGAGCAGCACATTCCTACACACAGCCAGCACAGACCCTGCAGGAGGCATTGAGGAGCAGCAGCTCGCTGGGGAGCACATGGGCTGGCAGGCCTGGCTGTGCACTGAGAGCCAGAGGCAGAGGAGCTCCCAGGGGAAACCTGGCAAACCCAGCTGGCAGTGCCTGAGCAGGGGGAAGGAGAGGAACCAGGGTCCTTGGTGGGAAGGAGCCCATCTCACACAGCAGGCAGGATCTGGTACCCCTAATGGGGAGAAGGAGGAAAGCAGTTGCTTAAAAGTTGCTTAAGTTGGAAAGCCAGGCCCTTAGACTTACTACTGGAAAGGCTAAATTTAATTACATACATTTTCCAAGTATTATTTGTATCTAAACATATATGGACCATTTTTGGGGGAAGATTAATTGTTATCCAGGCTAGGTGCTGTAACTTTTGGAGGCTGAAGGTTGGTGAATCCTCTGGAAGAGATGGTCCTGTTTTTGGTGGCCATGCTATCATCTGGAGCACGGTAGAAATGTAGAGAAGTCATGATTAAAGTCTGCTGGTAGGGAGGAGGTAAAACTTAATGAAATGGAGAAACTAGTAAGTAGAGGTGCCAGGCTGGAGCTCCATGGGAGGAGAAAGCAGCTCATGCCATTCCCCAGCTGGCCTGGTGAACCTCTGCAGTCATTTCCCTTTCTGGGGAGCACCTTGTGGCTTGGTCAGAACAAGCTCTGGGTTGCATACCCAGCTGCATTTTACAGCCACATCCCTGTGGAGAGAAGCACACACAGGAGAGCCAGAGCAGTGCTTGATTTCCAGGTGGTTTCCCTTTCTCTGACATGTTTTAGAAGAGAAATGTGTTTTTTCTGAAGGGGTTGTGCAGCTTTCTGCTATGGACAAAGAGATATTGAGGCTTGGATTGTGCTTTCTGCAGATCCTGGGGCTGCAGGGACAGTGGCCATGGGAGAGACACTGAGGAGAGGGCCCCTGGCAGACTGTAAGGTAGATGGCTCTTGGTGCATGTCCCCCTGTCTCTGCTCTTGAGAGTCACTTAATGGAAGGAGATTTTTTGTTTTCCTAATTAAGAACAATATAGAAGACACATGATGTCAATTTCCCCAAAGGCACAGAGAAATGCAGGTGGGAAAGTGAGGGGAGCCAAGGAGCAGCAGTTGAGTGGAAAATCTAAAGCTTTATTAGTGGTCTGTTTTTCACAGAGCGCTGTGGGATGCTCTCTCTTTTGCCTGAGATAAGAGATGGAGAAAAGGGACTTTTATTTGCAGCTAGCTCATCCAGTTCCCTTGCACAGCAGCAGGTTATTTACTCTGCCTGCCTGACCTGCCTGTGTCTCTGCTGTGCCTCAGCTGTTAGGGTGGATGTGGGTGTATGGGAAGGGCTCTGATATCTGTGCCCTGTCCCAGGAGGATGAACAGCATGCACATAACCTCAGTGAGCTCTTTGGAGGATCCACCAAGCTTAATAGAGACAGACATCTCAGAGACAATCAGGCCTTTCATGTTCTGAGCTAAAATAACAAAAAACATTTTTATTTTTGATTTGTAGCTGAAGAGCAGTGAAATTTGCTAAGATGTGTTAACCTTGTGCTTTAAGGTGGGAACTGCTTCTCTCACATTCCACACCAGTGCTGCAGGAAGCATCTCCTGGTGGGAAGATGGAGAGGAGCAGTGCCCCTGGCTGCAGTGTGGCCCTTGCTGTTCACAGGTAAGGCACACAGACTTGGCAGGGTGTGAATGTTTCATAGACAAATGGTAACAACAAGGGCCTTTAGGGAGCAGCTGGACTGCAAAAGGCAAGATGTACTGAGGGAGGTGAGAAAATGTCATTTGACTGCTTAGCTGTTTTTGAAAGACACAACAAGGAAGATTTAGCACACGTGTAATTTCAACCAAAGTCTTCAGGACCTAGACTCTTGTAGAGATGAGGATTCCTCCCCTGGAGTAGTATGTGACTCATGTATGTGACCAGGAGGAAGTCACCTGGAGAGCTGCAAGCTACTTGTTTTACCCAGCTTTGGGTAGAGGGCCTCATCCTCTCAGCCTGTTTCTGTAATCTCAGTTTACACCTTTCCCTTCTGTGAAAAGACACCACTCTTGGCAGCCACTGGGGCAGAAGACCATGGCTTATCCTGCCTGGCTGTGTGCAGAGGGTCCTGAGGCACTCACAGCAATGCTGCGGGAGCCGGTGCCCTCTGCTAGTGCCCACTAAGAACCTCACTTTGAACTCCCTGTGTCAGGAGTTTTCCTCACTCTCTTAGAGTGGCAGCAGACCTGGGCTCTCTATATTTAAGTGTCCAATGAAGAACCTTCCCCCCATAGGTGTGAGTTACCCCCTCACAGCCCACAGCTGTGTAGTGAGCTATGGGGCTGGCAGGCCCTGCAGCTCTGCCCTAACAGACCAGCTTACAGGGGAAAAGGACTTCCCACCTTCTGCTGAAACAGATGTGTAGAATCTATGTCCTCTGAAACTGTATTTCTAGATATGTATGTTTCCCCCAAGGTCACTTCCCTTTTGGCCCAGTCATAGTGCTCAGTTAGTTCTTCAGTCTCCTTAGTACACAGTGCCAAAAACATCTAGCCATCAAAACCTCTTGCTCTCAGAGGGACAGGTTTGGAATAAGAGGTGTTTGAGAGAGGGGGATGTATGTACCCAAAAATGAATACCATTTTTGTTGTGTTTCTCTTCCCCTGACACCAAAAGACATTTTGGGGCAGGTGAGAAGAGTCATGCTGCACTTCCACAGCATCTTAGCAGCACTACTCCCCAGAAACAGCAATAAAACTGTGGCCTGTGGGCTGGCAATGACAATTCAGCTCCTCATTTTGTTCCAAGCCCTGGCTGCGTTATCTGTCAGGAAGATAATTCCTTGACCTTGTGGTCAGGGGATGAGTGCTTTGCTTAGTGATTAAGCCACTGCAGTAGATAACATGCTGTGTTTAATCCCTTTGGTAGCTGGTCCTGGAGGGGGGCAGGAGGGGCTGCAAAAATACAGTGGCTTGCAATAGGTCTGGAGACCTCAGAAATGGTGGCAACAATGCAGAAACTGTGGCTGTATGTGCCCATCCTCCTAAGTTAATTTGGTGGCAGGCTGGAAAACAACCAGCCTATCTAGGGCAGTATTTTGTCCAGTGATAGAGCCATATGGTGCAAAAAGCCCACAGTCGTCTGAGGGCTTAGGCATGTCAGAAATCAGGGAGTCCCTCTGCGTACTGATCCTGTCTGCTAGCTGGCACATATAAAAAGAAGGTTTATAATTATTTTCCCCTGCTGATGGGGGAAGGGACTCCTGAATAAACAGCTAATCCTGCTGATTTGAACTGGGCAAGAATGAGATAAAACCTTTCCTGCTGCTTCAAAGCTGTGGCTGGGATATGGCTGTGAAGCATGCAGGGGGCATGCTGGAATGCCCCACAAGCCTGCCTTATTCCAAGCAAGTGCAGCAAATGCATCAGAGCATGGGTGCATGAATGTCCTGGGTTGACTATATGATGCTTTTATCCCCCATCGTCTCATTCAGAATGAGACAACTGGGGATAAAAGCATCATATAGTCAACCCAGGACATTGACCAGGTTTCATGTTGAACAAACTGAGGGTTGGAGCCTACTCTTCCAGTGGTATTTAGGGTTCTGTCTGCAAGTGAAATCAGGGAGAGCTTTGACTGACAGGGTCTCACCTAGGAGGTTTCATCCCCACAGCCAGACTTCTGTCCCCTGCTTTTTGCTGTAATTCTGTTTCTTACCCCTGCAAGAGAAGGAGAAGATGGAGACACAAGCCTATATCCATCTTGCCAACAGTGAGGCACTATCATTCTTGAGGGAAGACCCTTGGCCTTTTTGAGCCAACCTCTCTTCCCAGGCTGTCACTGCATAGTCAAGGATTATGATTCCCCTTTAATCTGGCTTTTCCCTTTCACAAGGTCCCTGCTCTTTGGAAACAGCCCCAGCCTCAGATTACCTCTGGCTCTGGTGCCTCCTCTGTTGGGCACAGGAATGTGCTAGCTGTCACCATGTGCTTGCCCTTGGGCAATTGACCTCAGCAGGCAGGAGCCAATCCCGGCTCTGGTGGCTGAATCGAAATGGCTGATTACAAATAAAGGCGGGTATGGATTGGTCTCTGCAGAACACTGCCAGCCAGCAATCCAGTTCCCTAATGAGAACAGGACTGTGGCCATGCTCTACCAAACCCTGGGAGCTTGATATTAAATTTGGTCTTTGAGGAAGAAAAAAACAAAACAACTTAAAAAGAAAAATAAAAGAAAATGAAACAAAAACCCCAAAACCAAGCAACTCCCCCCTCCCAAAACAACAACAACTCCCCCAAAAAAACCCCAAAAACCTAAACAAAAAAACACCTAAAAACCCAACCAAAAAATCCCCCAACACCTTCCCCACACCCCACCCCTGCAAAAAAAAAAAAAAAAAAAAAAAAAAAAAAANAAAAAAAAAAAAGAGCAGAAATAAAAGTCTTTAGTAGAAAGGTGTTTTTTTTATCCTGTGGTCTTGAGATACATACCTGTTCTTAGCTCATCCTCCTGATCCTAGGACTGACACAGAGTAAAATCTTTTTTCTGACAGCCCAGATTCAAATACTAAAAGAGGTGCTCCTCATCACCTTCTGCTTCACAGGAGAACCCTGGGCACTCTTGGCTGCTGCCCTAGAGCCCAAAGGGAGGTGGGTTAGATCAGGCTCCTTCCTAACATTGTGGGGTGCTGCCAGACAGATGCCTGGAGCAGCACCCATGGAGGCCTGGGGTAGAGGAAGCCACTGGGCTGGGGTGCTCCAGAAGGCATTTCTCTGCTGCTGTAATGCAGGAGCCTTCACCAGGAAGGAGACCTCAAAAATTCACAATTCATCCTGACTTTCATGTAGGGCCCCAGTCTTATTTCCATTATTTTATACATTTGTTTAAGTCCTGTGTGTGTTTATCCCAGGCTTCTCTTTTCCATCCTTACTCCCACCATTCATTCAGGATATGTTTCTTTGCTGTAGTGGTATGAGAGCCATCATAGTTGGAGATGTCTAGAACAGTTTCCCTACAATTTTCCACTCTGACCAGCCCTAACCCTTGTTGGGAAACCTCATTCCTTTCTCACCTGAGGTCCTAAGTACTTTCTACCTTTCTTCATCCCTGAGGGTACCTAAAATGTGTGAAGCTGCTTGGCCATGTACATCTGTTGCATTAGACATATAAACCATGTCTCCTATGATTTTAGGGATATTTAAATAACTAATTTTGTTATTTCTTTCTTCTTCAGACATTCTTTTACTTCCTCTGGGGAGTAATTTTGTGCCTCCAGTTTCCCCATGGAAAAACTTATGCTAAAATTATTCTCCATACATCTGATGCATCGGTTCCCTGGCCATCCGTGCCTGTGGCTGAGGACACTGCAGTGCGTTGCCATGGAGAGGACTCAGACAGCATTACTGGGTCAGCAGGTACTGTACAGGGAGTTCTTATAGCCCTGGTGTCAGGATGGATGGGAAGGGCCTGTGGCTTCCAGGAGATGCATAAATTCCCCTGGTAGCTTACAGCAAGTTTTCTGTGCATTTGGTGACTGAATCACGTGGCAGCTGTGTTATGGTACAGTGGCTTTGCAGGGAGGGACCTGCAGCTTCCCAGAGACAGCAGGAGCTGCAAGAAACCTCTGGAGTAGCACAGTGCAGTCTGATCAGAGAAACTTAGAGAGGACAGTAGGTCTGGGTGTGAACATCATTGTCTTCAGGAATCTCTGCTTCTACAATTTTTTTGATGGAACCATTAGTAAAATGCATTGAAATACTTGATTCTGCAAACAGATTGTGCAGGTTTTTTTTAAAATTGCAGGAATCACAGAAAACTTCTGTTACAAGACAGAGTGCCGTCTGCCCTGGAAAATATTAGGACTCGCAGCATCCAAGTGATGTAAATTGGAGTGATAGCTACCGTGAAAAGGGATATGGAGTATATCTAAAGCTAACCTAAGATGTCAGGTGTTCTAGTGTTGCATAAAGCCCTGAAGCTCTCAGCTTGCCTACCTGCCTACCGTTTTCTGAGAGCAGGCAGGTCAGCTCTGGTTTACTGAAACAATCCTCCCTGGCTTTACTTCCTCCTGAGCAGCAGCAGGTGAAACTGATAACAGAAAAAGCAATATCATGACGCATACCTGTTACAACATACCTAGAATCCCTGTCATGACAGGTCATGCAGACCTTTATGAGCTAGGTGTGAGTTTACTGGTAGAGTCCAGGTCAGAAGGAGAAGCTGGTGATAGGATGGATGTATCTTAGATGCCAGCCTGCCCCAGAGCACCTGTGCATGACGTGATGCTGATTGCAGAAAGGGAAGCTTCCCTCTCAGGCAAGAAGGGACACTGCTTCCCAAGCCAAGCATTGGTCTAAGTGGGGAGGGCAACAGCTAAGCACTTCCACTGGGGCTGTTAATGCTTGCCCCATTCATGGTACTGTCTGGGAAAGCAATGCAGGGAAAGTAAATTAGCAGTAGTGTTTGATAATTAAAAATAAAACAGTAGCGTCCCTTTGCTGGGCCACAACACCTCAGTTCTTCTGTAGGTTTTCAATCTACTGCACCCAAAGCCCAGACTCAGATTGCTCTTGTAGTTGCTTGAGCACAGACATGCCCCAGTTTAAGAAAGAACAGGGCAATTTAGTTTTCTTGAAGCCCCTGCAGACATGTGGAGACTTGGCTGCACCCTATGGTGAGCCCCCCAGCTACCTAGCTGCAGGCAATGAGAGCAGGAGCCTTGGGATCAAATTAGGACACAAGGACATTTTGGCAACTTCAGGTGGAAGCTGAAAATGGTGCAGAGGCCCCTAGACTGTGTGGATGAGGGCTGCTGAAATTCCCTGGTGAGAACAAAGTACCCCTCTTCCATCAGGGTTCATGTCAGATGTGGACCAAGTCCATCCAGGATGGTTGTGCAGTGGTCCTTCTATAGTGAAAATGGTGCCTGTTCATGGATCTCACATTCTCCTTGAAATCTGAAGAAATAGCTGTCCCTGGGAGGTAAACATGAAGCCCGTCTTGTCAGCATGTACAGGAGACAGGTGTATAAGTAGCAAAGCTCATGAACAGAGTGGTCCCCTCCTAGGGTCTAAGAAATTGCATGCAATGTGGCACTTAACAAAACCTTCACCTGCTGGGATGTTTTTTTTCAGGAGGGAAAGAAAAATGGCTTTCAGCTTTGCCTACACATCTGTGTTTTGTGCTCCCTTCCTCATTTATTTTCCTACCTCTTATAAATCATTAAATAATTGTCAAAAATAGCACTGCTTACTTTGGAGGTGATTAAAAAAGAGAGTACATTAACACATCACCCTCCTACAAACCAAAACATTCCCAGTAGTGTCCAACAGACAAAGAGCCAAATCTCTTACTCCCAACTGTTTAACTTACTATCTGACAAAGTACTTCTCTGCCAGCTGCTCTTCCCCTCAGCTGCACTGAGCTGCTTAAGCAGACACTGCTTTGTAAACACCCAGGAACACAGTGTCCAGCACCAGGCTATTGACAAATTTGTCACCCAGTCTAAAAATATCAGCTGATATGTGACCCTCCCACCCCATTGCATTGGGTACTGCTCAGGCAGGAGGAAATTTCCACCAAGCTCTTGAAAGCATAAACTCTGCCAAGCCACTGTGATTTACATAAATAATGAAAAGTTTAATATATCTAGACTGTATTCACTCCTGGAATAACTCTGATGGCCTTAAAGAGGTAACTAATGGGATGAACTGAGCCCTGTAAGCTTAATGTGCTGAAAGAAAGTGTTATTGTATGCTGTCACATAGAGATCTAAGTGATTCTGGCTAGCCAGGATGCTATAAGGATACTCAGTCCATGTTTACTCATTCATTTAACATTTCCATCTGTAGCTCCTGCCCATTTCTGCTAATGTACTTTCCTCTCTCTCTGCTCCTGTCCTGGCCTCCCAGTGCAGCCTTATATAACCCTCTTCCTCCACCCCCCTATTTAAAAGTGTTTCAGAGTTTGGAGACAATGCCCAGAAGTGGTGGTTGGTGGTTTAAAACCTTTATCCTCCATGAAGCACCAGCTGCAGATCAGGAGTCAGGGGAGCTCCCACAGCAGGGGCACAGGGATATCCCTCCACTGCAAGCAGAGGAGGCCAATTAGAGGACTGCACGGGGATTAGGGAGGACGTGAGTGAGAGCTCCAGCTAGATCAGGGAGGCCAACATGGCCCAGGGCAAATCACATCAGCTCTTTCTGCTTCAGTTTGCTTGTACTTAGGCTGGGGGCGATAACTGGTTTACCTCAGCCAGGTCCTGAGATTAGATGCAGGGAGCTGTGTAAAGCACATAAGAACAAAACAGCACTGGCAGTTTGGTTTTGTAATACAGGATGATTCTTACTGCCAGAGTGGTTTTGCAATGCAGAGGATTTCTGAATGGCAGGGATGCAGGAGATGAGTGCAAAGTTACCAGAGAAAGACTTGGGTCCTTTCAGAGTAGAATCTTACAGTAACAAGGTAATGTTTCACAGCAAAGATGCATGCTCAAAGAATGGGCTAAGGACAAAGAAGTCAGGCCTCTAGAAAGGAATTTTTTTCAGGTCCTAGTGTTAAGAGGCATGTGGGATATGGGGCATATTCCATTATGAAGGCTCTGAAGACTGGCCTCCCTATAGTGCTGGATGGTCTCCATGAATGGAGAATCTCTTTCCAGGTATCTTGGGTTAGAAGAGTTTTGCATTTTTTTTCTTGTTCCCAGTGTTTTCTCTTTAAACAATCACCTAGTAATATCTCACCAAAAGGAGGGCAGAGCTGCTGCCTGCTTAGAAGCCAGAAGCATTATGATTTTCTTACCCTGCCTCTGTACTGGCTCTTCAGAGTGGGTGCTATTTGCTTGCCAAGGACTTGTGGGGCTGCACTCCCCCAAGCAGCTGTATTAGAGCTCCATCAGCTCCCTGTACTGCACTGCAAAGCAGGTGTCTGGGGGCTGCCTTCCAGAAGGACTGCGCTAAGCCAGTGTTTTGCCTATGACAGCCTTCTTTTACAACTATATAGGCTAAATCCAATCCTAACAAACTATACTCCCTTGGAGCAGCAAAGCATTAGAGCTTACAGTGGATTGCTTTGAAGGGAGCCTGTGTGATCTGAGAACACACCACAGAGCACCTCCAAGAGCACCTCTGCTCTCCTGGATGTAGTGGCTGCTCTACTAAGCAGTGCAGTCTCAGGTCCACAGAGCAGAACTACGTGTGAAGACACCAGTTACCATCTGTAATGTGCTGCATCTAACTAGCTTTGTATCTCATCCTTAAATCTCCCTGCATCTTCTTTAAAACAAAACCCCAACAAGACCAAAAAAAGCCCAAACCAAAAAAACCTCATGTTTGAAATGGCATTTCAACTACTACATTTTTGTCTTTACCTGCAGAAGAACGCCCACAGCTGAAAGCAAGTCTTTCTCTGATGCAACAACTGTGGCAATGAGAAGCCATCCTCAGGTAAAATATAACAAGCCAGGCTATGTATTGCAAATTCTGTTTCCCACACCTCCCTGTCCAGCCTTGGCTTAATAAAGACATGTAGATGTCTTTAACTAAGTCCCGTATCAAACATGTGAGCACTGCATATTCAGCATTTTCTTAGCAAACAGATTCCCCTGGCACCAGGAAAAATTTTAGCAAAGAATGAGTCTGCAGCTCCACAGCATCCTAAGAGGAAAACAGATAACCAAGGTGAGAAATCTAATCCTTACATCCCTCTTATGGCATGTGGAGAAAGAACTTAGTATAAATGGGCTTAAAATTTACCTTGCAAAATATTAACCAGTGGTGGTGCAGCTGCTCCTCCTAACAGCTTTTAGACATATCTGCCAAATTCAACCTTGACAGAGAGAATGAGTTTTAGTGATAAATTTTGTGTGAAGAGGAAGCACACAGGTAAAATTGTTGGCACTCTCTCTGGCACTGAAGGGCTCCAGTTTCAGCCCAGATGCCATTAAAGCCTAGACAATCCACATAAACAAGAATTTCTGAATGTGCAAAATGTGTTCCATTGTGTTCCAAAATTCCTCCACAGGTCAGCCAAAAGAAACTGCTCTTTAGTCAGTGCTTCTCCTCCATGTTGATTGCTTTTTTAGTTCTCCTTAACCTGCAGCTCAGTTGCAAAAACACCAAATAAGCCCCATCTAAAAGGGCCATACTTTTTACATGTGACCATTGGTTTAACTTCTGCTTCTACAGAAATCCAGCAGTAGAACTCCTTCTCAAATAAACAAAAGCATAAGCAGACCCAAGAAATACCTCATGCCTCCATCCAAACTGCTGACTTAAATTTTCCATGCTTCAATTTTAAACTCATAAAATTCACTGAATTTCATGGACTTAGGACTTAAACCACTACAGAAATAAAAAATATCCATACACAGATCAGTGTCTTTTGAAAAAAAATATTTTTCTCAGATTGCACATTCAAAACTTGAGCTGTACACTGCACAGTAGAGGAACACTAGTTTGCCAATCCAATTACCTTCATGTAGGTTTGTGTTGATTAGTTCAGCTGTAGCCCCAAGGTGTCAAACTCAGTCAGCAGCAAGAGATGGACCCCAGGTGTAATTACAGTCAGTGGCCATGTCTCCTGGGCTGCAGAATGTTCTCCGTCTGGAAATGCCCTTGTCAGAGGGAGGTTTGGACAGTCTTCAGGTAGATTGCAGTAGAGCTTTAGGGAAAACATGCTCCTCCAGTTAGAGGCTGCCTGCTCATTCACCCATCACCATTTGCCTTCTTTCCACTGTTTCCCACCTCTCCCCCTTGTCCCTCTGCTAAATTAACCAAGCAGTGAATTTCAACCCCAGTGCAACGACACAGGAAGCAAAACCCTTCATATATGTGCTGGCAGGCTTTCTCTCCAGCCTCAAAGGCTACAAATCAGATGAAACACTGGCTAGGCTGGAGTCATTGCAGGTTTTACCCTAACTCTAGTGCTGTCAGGGAGCAAGGGCAGTTTTGCAGTGGCTGGATTAGAGCCACTGACCATCTCTTTTCTAGGTCTTTGCAGGTACGAGGGCACACACAAATCACTGAGGCACGGACATCATGTGAAGTCTGTGTTTTCTCAAGGACCTTGTCCAGTGTTAGAACAGGATTTGTTTCACTGTTCTGATTGCTGCTTTGAGGCTGAGGATAAGGGATAGCCTCCCTGCTGGAAACACTAATGCAGCTGTCCTTTCCACAATTACCAGATTTGGGTGTTAATGCTTTTCTCTAAGGGGTGTTTTACTTTAATAACCACTCAAATAAATAAATAAATAAATAAATACATAAATACATAAATAAATATTACTTTGTATTTTATAAGCAACATTTGTCCAAAGTCTTTGAAGTGCTTTGCCAATCAGAGTCTTACTATTTCCTGTGAGTCCCAGGAGCCCAACTCTGCTTCCGTTTATATCAATAGGAGCAGGTCCAGCCTCTGAGGACTTGCCTGGCATTACACAGTGAGCCAATGACTGACAGAGCAAACACTGCTCAGGTGCCCTAATTCCTACTTTCATGCTGCCTGCCCTTAACACCACCAATCATACTTTGATTCAAAGATCAAATCTTATAAAAATAAAAAAAAAAACCTATGTCTTAATTTTCAACACTGTGTAATGTCTCTAACCTTGCAGGGCACCAGTGTATTTGGTCTATTGTTAGTGTTCATTTAACAACTCCTTTAAAGCCTTCTAGGAGGGCTCTCACCCGCTGTTACCTCCTGGGAAATTCTGGTAAGCAATCTATGCATGCTAGACTGCATGTCTGTGCCATATGTCAACCCTCTCCTGGTTGTCTCTTCTACTATTTTCCATGTCAGAGACATCCACAAAGAAACGAGATCCTGTCTCCTCTTGGTGCTTCTCCTCCGTGCTCCAGGTCTGACTGCTATCATCAGAGCAACCCAATCCGGCGTCACAGATGATGGAACAGAGAGCTGATGCTGCCCGGAGCCAGAAAAAAACCAAACCAAAGTGCCTGCTTCAGATGTGTGCTTACAAATCCAACTCAACAAAGAGTCCATGTGGAAACCTGGAGCAGAATGCTGTTGTACTTGAACGCTGTACACAGGGCACAGGTAGGTTTTTCCCATTTCTGGTGCATTTAATTGCAGAAGAACTCAGTTCCCCCTAAATAGTATTGAGTTAGCTCTTATAAAAAACACATGATCCTCATCTAAGAGAATCTGTAATGTACCTTATTTTGTGCATCTCTCTTTCTTGTGCTCTATACAAGAATACAGCTCTTAGCACCAGTGGCAGAGAAATGCTGCCCTGCTCAGTAGACACTGATAAGAGCTAGGCAAACATGTCATTGTACGCAGCTCATGAGAACAATAAGCTTGGAACTCTGGAGAACATCTGGTCCAACCTCCTGCTCAAGACAGGCAAATTGGATAAGGTTTTGGGAATTCCGGAGGGTGGTGATTTCCATTTACAAGTGACCTCTGTATTTCTCCAAAAGTCCAGATTCCACAGGTTCATTCATTTTCATATCTTAATGAACAGGTGACTTGTGTGGGTGCTTGACAGTTTGTGGACTGTCCACAAATTTCTCTCCTTTACTCCCTCCTCCAAAAAAAAAAGAAGGAATTCTAGAGATGTTTGTAAGAGAACCTTGGAAAGGAGGAGGAGAGGTGAGGATACCTTGGGAGGGGTAACAGCAAAAAATAAATTGTGTTTGCGTGCACTTTCAGACAGCTTCTGCCCAGCTCTGATCATGATGTCTACTTACATGGCCTTGATTTGTGCTTTCCCTAGCTTGGTACTGGCCCCAGTCAAGGGGCACCCAGAGTACATGGCATTCGGTACTCCAGCCTCCCTGCCTTCAGCATGGGACTGCAGCAGCTTTGAAAATGCAGTCCCGTAACTGAAACCAAACTGCCCATCACTGCAGGCAGAATCAGCTGGGGTGGTTTTGGTTCTTATTCAGCAGGCTCTAGTAGTCAGCAACCTCTGTTTGCATTTCCCGCTGGAGAGTGCAGCTGTAGTCATCTCTGGTGTAAACAATCAATCAAATACTCAGAGGCTTCAAGCAGATTTTGCAGCTCTCTCCAAAAAAAAAAAATGCATGTGCTTGTGGGGTGGAGGACAGAAAAACTTGCTTCCTCTCTGTAAAGATGACTGAGGTCAGTCTCTAAAACACACCCAGAATGAAAAATGTTTTTAAAACAGTATGTGAAATAGCTGCCACATTTTTGTGCGGTACCCTGCTCCCCCAAAACATGAAATTAGGGTGGATGTTGGTTTTCGTTGTTTTTTAAATGCTCATGCCGAGGAGCTTTCTGTCACATTATGACGGACAACCAGTGGTGCATCCTCACTCACCCATGACAAGATCTTTCACTTCTTACTAAGTTGAGCATGCAGTTCTGCTTCGAAGGCCATCTTGTCAAAGGTGCGCATGTTTGTCTCCTCCCGCACCTTCTCCCGAACATGGAAGGATGCTCGAGCAACAGACCTGGCATTTTCTAAGACAGTCTTCTTCTCCTTGAAGATCTGCTCACTTCTCTCCAGCTTCCTCTCTATAGAGAGGAGAATTTCCCTGCGCCGTAAGTCCTCATATTGTTCCACCTTTTGCTTGTTCATCTTCTGCACTTTTTCCTTTTCCAGACGGCTCAAGACCACTTTGCGGGCTTTTTCTTGGACAGCCTCTTCAGCCACCTGGGCAGCATGCTGGAGCTTTCTCTCTGTCTCTCTAGCCAGTGCTTCCAAGTGCTCCTTCTGCTCTCTTTCCTTCTTCTCTGCTGCCAGTTTAGCTCTCTGGATCTGCATGTCCTCACGCCTGGCCTTTTCCCTCAGCTCCTGGTTCCTCTTCTCCACAAGCTGCTCGTAGTTCTCCTGAGCCTTTGTCAAACTCATCTTCAGGGATGCCTTCAGCATTTCCTTCTCTTCTGCCTCCTGCTTGGCCAGTTCCTTGAGCAAGGCCTCATGCTTCAGCTTCTCTGCTTGGTTGAACAGTCTCTTTTCCTTCTGCAGCTGGACCTCCTTTTTCAGCCTCTTCTGTGCAGCTGTGGACAGCTTCTCTTGCAGGAGCTGCTCCTCTCGCTCCTGGTGCTCCTTCTTGACCTCTTCCTTTGCCTTCAGGTTGAGCTCTTGATGGAGTTTTTTCTGCTTGTCCTCCTTGATGGCCCTCTCCAGCCTCTCCCTCCTCAGCCGCTCCTGCTTCTCCGCTTGCTCCCGCCACCTCTCCTCACATACCAGGAGCTGCTTCTGCTTCATCAGGGCAGCTTCCTCCTGCTCCTGGTTCAGTCTCCCTCGCCGCTTCTCCACCTGGCTCTCCCACATCCGCTGACCCTGCAGGAGGGCCCTCTGCTTCTCCTTCTCCTCCTGCTCCTTCCGCTGCTCAGCCAGGCGCCGCTGGCTGTCCCACTGCAGGTGAGCCGCCTGCCGCTGCTCCCGCAGGAGGTTGGCCTCCTGGTGCTTGGCGATCATCAGTGCCGCGATCTTCTTGTCCCTCTCTGGCACCTCTGAGAGACCCTTCTTCCTCTTCACCTCCCTGACGATCCTCTCGACTCTCTGGGCAGTCTGTGGCGAGTGGCTGAGGTCGCCTAGGCTGAAGCTGCGCCCCAGCAGAGTCCCATTGGCGGCGGCTACCCCCCGACCCCGG